ACAGTGGATCCCAGTCTGTAGCCTCAAAACAACCTTGCAGGGCTTCTTCAGCTTCCGTTGACCATTTTCTCACTGTTCTCTTTATTGCAGTTGTCTCTGAACAAGGGCAGTGGTTAATTTGAGCTTATTCCTGCCAGAACAAGATCTGGGAACTCTCTCCTTTTGACCTGTTCTGTTACGGCAACTCTTCGCTCAGATCCGACAGCTCTGCCCCTAAAAGTCCAAAGTCATTGCGCATTTTTATTTTAATTATTTATTTAAAAAAAACAACGAGAGGAGACATTGCCTTTAGCCCGGCAGACCCAGTCTGTGGATATTCCAGCCGCAGCACGTGCAGCGCACCAGCTATACGCTCCTTCGAGGAGCAGGAGAGGGGGTGAGGACAGACGGACAAATGGTCTTACGCACAGAGGTTCTGCACAGAGTCCTTGTCTTCTCCTCCTCTCCAAATATAGTCCATCCTCAGCGGGGCTGCGCACTGAAAAACACCTCCTCTCAGACCCCAAAACAGAAACGATCTTTTATTCAACAGAATGAATAAATGCCCTGTGGTCAGTGCACGTTACGCACAGAAACATTTCCAGACAGCTCTAGCTCGGGCACAACATCAGCAGGTGTCTGAACTCCTGCTACATTTCAGATATAATAAATAAAAAAGCTTACTGTAAATTATAAACTAAAAATACAAAGATAGAAATTTTGATGTGTTATTCACATTATGTCACATTTCAAAACAGCGGCGCTAATTTGTCAAAATAACAACAGCGATCAAAATATCAAAGAGACTGTTCAATTTACTTTAATAAAAAATGGATAGATAGATGGATGGATGTTAGGGCTTTAACAAACTACTTGAGTAATCTACACATCGATTCCTGGGTCATCTTTCGAGTTTTTAAATGTCACGTCGAGTATTCATAGTGACGTCATTATGTCGCCGTTACGTCATTGTGTCACGTGTCATGTGATCTGCACCGGGTGTGTGTTACCAAATGGATTCCTCTAAGCAGACAGATGGAGCGGAGCAGGTCCAGTCTTGGCAAACAAGTAGAAATGCATCAATAGTCTGGAAATATTTCACTAAAGATGAATCTTCCAGTTAAACGACCGTAAGGAAACAGAAAATGAATCAACTTCCACACATATATGTAACTTGTTTGGAGCTCGTTGTGAACCGGTGTTACACCATTTTCTGTGACCACCGTATATTGTGACCGTCGGTGTTGCATGCACTGTTGCAGGTCACAGAATAT